GACATGATGCGGTCATGTGACCTAGCCCGTGAAGTAGGTGCTCGAACATGTTATCATGATTACATACGACTACAATTATACACAGTGACGCGTGGGCAAGACGATTTTCATGAAGCAGCTTCCTACTACGTCCGAATCCCGACTGGCCAACGCCCCGACAATATTCATGCCAATGAAAGGATTCATATCGATCAAGGTCAGGTTTAGTCAATTGATGATCAACGCAACATCTCATGCCCACCATGCTACACACAAAACCAACAGCGGCCAGATGATATCCAGACTTCCTCTTCTAATTACATAGACTGTCTCTCGATAGCTTATATGACTTCTACCTCGCAAGAGCGAACGAGCTCCCATTAAACCTGTTGTACTTATTCGCCTCAGCATCACCTAAAGTAGCAACTTCACGAGAAGGATTACTAAGATGATGTTTATTCCGCTGAAAGCACTGATTTGGATGGCAAAGTCTTGTAAAGTAGCTAACTTTTAGTAAGCTAACCAATAGGTAAGAGAACTCCTTACCTTCAATGCGTTTGCAATATAGTTGCGTATGCCAGCACCGAATGTGGCCGATAAATCTTGGGTTAACTGCTCGTAGAAGCTAAGTTCTGATCGCAGGTCCTTGTGTACCTTTAGCACTGATTTACTCTTACTGAGGAACATACTTTCACACCTGGAAGCTATGCCACATGTGCAACGCCCTGAGACCTTCTTTGGTTTTCTTGCTTTATGCTATAGTGTTAAGCCGCTGAAAATCTGTATCAGCACCACTGTCGAAGGCGGCCACCAACTAATCTAGAAGCGAACGAATTTCATTCAGCTCCTGCTCAGTATTGTGCAAGGAAGCTTATTCGTCTATCAAGGTCCCTGACAAACAGGCATTCTGTACCTGCTTGACTACATTTATCGCATGGATAATCTCCTTGTCAGTTACAGACATTTACCAGTAAGGCGCTGTCTAATAGACCTGATTTGATGCTTACCCCTGTCTTTCCCTATTTACAGGGCTCACAGGCATTTGATCTTCGTTGGTTGATATGGCACCGGCGTCTGATACTCGAGAAAGCCTTGTAGTGGGAGCTGGAGTCAAGATCCTCAAGCCTTCCGCCCGCAAAGGAACCATATCGCTTACAGCTCAGACTAGGTGGTATGTCTCTATGTTAGGAGCAGACGCTGAGCCGTATCCTGAAGAATAGTCAATGAACTGTACAGCACGATTAAGACAGCGTTTCAAGGTGCCCTACATTTGAAGTCGTTTCCCTACTCAGCGGTCTGTATACAAGGCGGTCTGCGGGCGTAGTGACAGATTACATGAAGCAGGAAGAGGACCCGCCTATCCGCAGGACTTTGAAGGCTTCGACGAACGATGATTTGAACTTCGAATTTCCGATAACGCTTACTTGTTTCTGTTCAGGTCAGTTTGACAAGCTATTTGGCGCAGGTATGAACCTCCACTTTATGGCTGCATTTCGCTCTTTTGACCCCTTGCGGCGGACCAGTCGCGCCGAAAACATACCTCAGTCCTACGGCGGAACTCTTGGCTTTTGTGCCACCATAAGCGGCTGAAAGGCACTGCAAAATGATCTTTGACGAAAAATGCATAACAGCCACATTTACAAAAGAGGCTGGGTCCTCCACAGCAATGGAAGGTAGAGCTTACTAAAAACTGCTTAGCTTCACTGCGAAGTCTCGCGACATAAGCCGGTACATGTTGTCGAGCTGAAGGGAAACATGTTAGCGCGAGGAAAGAATACTATTTCGTGATATTATCCAGAATTTCGTGTATTACGATCTGTATTTTATGCCAATAATATCCGGAGAAAAATAGTAAGAGAAACAGGCGATAGGCATGGTATGAATTTCATCCTCGCTTGAAGCAATGATCCACTCTCCCTGCAGTCGCGACTTACCTTTTCTCTATTCAGATTATCGCCCTAACATACTGGTCCTACCATGACACTGGTAATTTAATGAACCTAATTTTGCTCGCTGAGCGTGTTATAAACTGGCTGTATTGCTATAACACAACGTAAGTAAATGACCTAGTATTACGTAACAGGCTGCAGCTCGTGATGAGGGACCTTTGCATATTGACTCCCACTTTGCAGCTTGACAGCTCGCTACGAACTATTGCATTCATGTCTACTGTCATTGGCTGGTAGTTATGCCGCCGTGTAGTTTCTTTTGGTAGGCAGACCAGGGGTGTGCGCACTACGCTACATTGACTAGCAGCCGCAGCAGCAAGCCCCGTGGGAGCTCTTCTGCATATGGGACGGATACGTAACGCTGACTTGATGGCTTATGTCTGGAACGGCACATGGCCTGACAGTGGCTTGACCACAACCATATAACAGCATTAACTTCCGTGGAGATCAGTAGAATTGTGTTAATATTTCGAGAACACCTCTCCACACAGACGTATAACATCTCCTACAGCACCACCGCTGGTTTCGGACAGGTATCTTAGAAATACTTCCTAACAATATCCATAAGACGCCAGATTACGTACAGTACCGATGCTTACTGCATGGACCTAACTCGGATGGGGGTTTTGACTACACCGTACTCTCAGCCTGTGGAATCTATGAGGCAGAGGAAACACCAAATGAAGAGGAAGACACTGGTAGCCAAGCTCAAAATTACACACCTGCACCAAGCATCCTATCACAGCCAGAATCTATCTCAGATACTCCTTCTGCAAGCAGCCTACAATTGATCAACAAATCTGTGTGCAGGTCCTGTTTGAAGTTCGACACAGAGAAAGAAGAATGCTGGGGTTTCGACAGCTCGGAAGCGCTCAATCACCACGGACTGAAAGCTTCTGGAATCTGATGCCGCATTACATCAGAATATGAATTCAGATTTAGTTACACCTTCAGCTCTGGCTCTTCAACATAGTCTCTCAGTGGCCACTTGTGACGAACAATCTCCGCCCATGCCCACTGTTCATCTGGTTGCTTGTCCGGCCCACGCCAAGCGATCGTACTTTCATGTTCCTTCCCAGCGCAGCAGCTCTAGGGGCTCTGTTCTGCTGGCTCTCCTCCAATTTTAGCACGAACCCAACTACGATATGATCCTCCCATAGCTTTGGGTGTCGCTGGTAATTCTGCTGACATACTCCGTCCACTTTTATGTTCTGCCGCCTGTCTACGCAGCCGTCCGTGGAGCCGCATCTGAGTCTATAACAGCTCCACCGGCTCCACCGGCTCCAACTCCATCGCCCCGCGATACTCGCCCCGCAGATAGCTTCTCCGCATCCCATCAGCTCAGAACTGGCCGTCACGAAGGCCATGATAGTAGTAAACTTTGCTCTTCCCACCCCAGATTTCCAGCTGTCAGTGGCTCTCACGGCTCTCAACCCTGCTTCACCTTAGACTACTGCACTCCTGAATAAATACAACTAATCATTCTAGCACAGAGGCGGTTATTGAAAACGATTCACTAGTGCTGTCAGCACCGACACTAACATAAAAGCGGCAGAAAGCCCTTGAAAAGCCCACCCCAGAGTCAATGAAAAAAATGAGGCAGGAGAAGATAATCGAGATTTTAGTCAGAAGCGGGCAGTGATTGAGGTTGAAAAGGCAGCTGAGCAGATATACTGTACTAACAAGCCTATAAAAATGATGATATAGAAATTGCACTGTCATCAGAGTAGTCATAGTCAATAGAACCTCGCTTACTTGGCCTATTTCAGAATCACTATAAGCTAAATAGATAATCATAGTAAAGCCATTACATCTACAATCAAGTATGCAGTCTGCTGGAGGGTAGCCTGCTCCGGAGATGACTAAAGTACCCTTGCCCCACTGAGAAAAGGGCCGCATCATTCTATCACCAGCTCTCAGGCAAAGGATTAAGAAGAATCCGACTATTATCCTGTGAGAAGGAGTCTACCGGCCTGCGATGAGAAAGGATTAAAATCTCAGGTATACCTTTCAGTACGACTATAAGGATATTCCAGTCACTGGAGTTCAAGAAGTCACCATTTAGGAATCACGATTGCGGGGCCGTAAACACAACTTCCGAGGCCACATTGAGTTTATAACCTGATGCCTTTACGGAGACCTACAGCAGACGTACACCAATTCCGTATAGGAATTCTCCCTTCGCGTTACTAACAGGATGCTTGCGGATATGATGGTTGCAATAAAGTAAATGCTCACCTATGAGATACAGGGGTGGGGATATACGTTGGATAAGACCGGCTACAGGTTGATAATACTATCATCGATTTCCCTTATTGGCCTCGCTTATGTGTTCGCCCTTTATTAGGATGGATAGATACTTTAGGCTGGGGTTTCGTTTTCTGGTTTACTGCCTGTTAGTATGGGTGTCCAAGACACCTCGGACTCAGTATGTTTCAAGGCGAGGATGTCATCATGATTTCAAGAATATCTTCGCAAGTGACTAAGTGACCGCGAGTGTTCTAGTGCTGGCTCAGTACCTGCTTAAGTGGCCTTCGGAGATCGGCGAGACTCGAATGGCGGCGGGGATCTGATTGGACGGCGGGGATTGACTGTAAACGTCATGCTGCAACCGCGGGCTCCACCCGAACCGTACAGAGAGTATTCCTTCTTTTCTTTTAGAAGTAGTAGCATGGCAGTCTTGACCTTGCGCATCCATTTGTGAGCTCCCTTTGTGTAACGCCACATAATCAATGGAAGAACAGAGTTATTCAAGCGCTTATCCTAAGCAACGCTCAATTATCCGCCGCGTGGAAGACACCAAAGGACGGCCTTTTTCCTTCAATTGTTGCTCAATAATCATACCGCTAGCCGTTCCTGACAATCAGAGTGGACATAGAGATACCAAGCCCAGACTGGAGCCAGTGCACCTTACATGCCAGTGGCATATTTCCGGCACTTTTTGTGCGTTCATGATTATATGAACCGTTGATCCCCCCTCCCAGATAACCACCGAAAGCCGGCATGGAAATGTCCGCCGACCAGAATCTCGAGAGCACGCTCTTGTGCCTAGAAAATACTGCTGATAGCTGACCGGGTTCCCTTCCCGTCTTTATGGACAATATTATCCCCCAGGACTGCATATCCCACCCTCCTCTTGAAGACGACGGCCTCGGGCTGCATAATTCCTTCTTGCCGCCGGTGCCTTGGGCCTTGAGTCCCGCCGTCCCAACTGATTTCACTGTCAGTTCGCAAGCCAGCTCCGGCGCTCCTTGCCAGACAATGCGAAATCCCAGCAATCGCCAGCGGGAGTGTCCCACCGCGCGGACCTCTACATTTGGTGCAACTACAAAGATGTCTCCTGCACAAATACACGAGATAACCTGGCGCGGTAGCGAGACGAGCAATAGCAGCGCCGACCGTGGCAGTAACAGAGACAGTTCAATGTACAGTTCTCGAAAGAACTCCAACAGAATCCCTTCCCCGGGATTCGAAGAGCACGAGTACAAACGGCGCAAACGCGAGCGATCCCTTGAGCGCAACCGCGAGGCAGCTTATAAATGTCGCAAAAAGAAGAAGGAGCAAGCTAAGCGTCTGGAGAGTCGGTGTGAGACAGTATCGCAGGAGAATTCTTTTTTACAAAGCGAAGTGAGTCGTCTACGGGGCCAGGTTCTGAACCTAAAGGATGAGCTGCTGCGACATTCCCGATGCAGAGGTGAAGGGATCAAGCGCCATTTGCTGCGAATGGCGAAGCAGGTCCCTGGTAAGGCCGAGACAACATTGCAGATTTCAGAGGATAATGTTCAGTCAGTGGAACATACGGGGGGTTCCATGCAGGATCAAGAGAAAGTTGGGTTCGATGATTTGGTGCAGCTTCCAGCTTCAGGGGATGACTCATCGGCAGCGGCGTGAGAGGATACCGAGTAATTGTCTTCATGAGTTGACTTCCAAAAAAAAGACCGTCACTGATGTCTGCATGTCCCTTCAGGCTGGTTCAGAATGCAGGCTGGCGGCTTGTAGCCACCTGGAGTATTAGTGACCATAAGCGAAGGGCATTCTGCAATAGGAAGACTATTACAGGTTTGCTGAAGCCCCAGTGGTAGATATCCCTGGTTCACGTGATCACATCGCTGCTGCTGCATTAGTTGTATGAAGTGCAGCTGAGCACCCTGTATGTCGACCGGTGATGTGACCATTACTGGATGCGTCACAATCGGGGCTTGATTCTGTGCGGGAGCTGGTGCTACGTATAGCCTCTGGAGAGCATGAGACTCATGAGTCGGTGAGGTTATGAGGGTTTGTGGCTTGCTGGTCAGCAATGACCGCGTCCACCACTATATCCCGTGATCTTAGGGATAGAGCGCGGAATCCAGATCTTTTGCGCAAGAGGAAGTCGTCCGATTAGCGGGATAGTAACAGGGAGGCAATCCACGCCCAGACGTACGTAAAGAAGCTGAATGAGAACGGGAAGCAGTACTAACTGACTGTATAGTAATGACCCGAAGAAAACCAGTACGAAAGTCAAAGCGGATAAGAATAATGAGGAATGATACTATACAGGCGAGAAGAATGCGACTAAAGCGGCCCCGAGTAGGAACCACCTATGGTGGAGCGAAGATTAAGGAGTAAGTGAGTGGGAATACGGACATAGGAGGTTTGCAGAGACGCTATGAGAAGGAAGCATTTCGACAGAGGCAGGAGGCTTGGACGGACAGGCTGCGACGTATCATATCACAAGTGTAGTGAAGGGTGGATTCAGCAAGGAGCTATCCCGGAATGGTGATGCGCTAGCGGCTGAGCGGTCTAGCATAACGTAAACCACGGTCGCGCGGACCAGGAATGGATTCTTCGGCTTGTAACTAGTCCATAAGTATCCGGCACTGAAGGGAGTACTATCGCGGTCTCAACCGGTAGCATAAGGTGCTGTAAAAGCACGGACTACCATAGCTGAAAGCAGCATGACATGTCAAAGTTCGAGTGAGGTGACTCAGAGTGTGCAGAGTCGGGGAGTCCCATTGCAACGAGCATAACCGCTGGACCCTCTATGAGGCAGTATTTACCAAGGTAAAACACACCGGCAACCTCTCTGTCCTCCCAACGGACAGGCCTTCGATGACGGAGATATTACGTTTTGAGCACACGTTACCAGCCAGTATGTTGCCCATCGGTACCCTGTGTTTCCTATGACTACCAGGTCTGGTCGGCCTGGTTGCATGGAGATGCCCAAGGGTTCTCCATCTAATGATGGAGATATCATCCCCTTTCATTCTGATCTTGTCCATAAGTAGAGTAATCCGGAAGGTCATGTTTGATTTTTACCCCCTTGCTAGGGGCACTATTCCAGGACCACAAATTGCGCAGTCGTACAGGATCTGCCTCCACGCCTTGAACCAAGGTGATATGTGAGGCCCGAACAAAGAAAAAGAACCGGGAGGCTATACCACGAGTAGCGAGCAAAGGAATCCTAGCGGTGGAGCTGGAGACTAGACAAGTCCCAATAAACCTTGTTTGAGCGTGCCAGTCAATGTTGCCTAGGAACTCATTAGACCCAGGTCAGCAAGACAAAGGAAATTCACCCGCCCGATCCAATCTCATCTGATTCGTCCACGGCGTTGCCTCGTACGGAATTGGATGCTACCTAGGAGGTCGCACTTGTTCTCGTGCCATTATGATCCGCAGTCCAGAAGTCATTCTGGGCGCAGCTGAGTTTGCAGTCTCGACGAGGGTCGCTCTCTTCTTGCCTATATTGATAATAAAGCGTGGGCCTAATTAGAACGTCTAATAACAGTTTCAGGGGTACAAGGCTCTGTGATACTCGACCACCCGAGTTTGTCCATTGAGTTTCAGGGGGGCATTGTCCGTTCTGAGGGTTTGGAAGATCAGTCCTAGCCACTTGATCTTGTCTACATTATACGGGGTATGACTCTGGGAAAATAAGCAAGTCGACAGCGGTCGGGTACTGGGCATCGGTGCTGTAGATACGGGAAAGTAATACGACAAAAGGAGGAATCGGTAGTCATTGTGCTCTGTCGGACCACGGTTGCCCAACTGTTTCCAAGTGGTCTCCACTGAGCCTACTGGTCAGATCCGGAACCCGTTTTCCAAGGGTCGTCTGTGTACTTGAGACGCCCATTGACCAGTTGCGCGGTCCCACGAGTCGCGCACATCTTCACCCTGCCATGTCCACGCCGATCATTTCCTTTCCCTAGTCGGCCCCGTCTTTAATGGAGTACCTCACGCCTTGGGGCCGAAACCCTGAAAGGGCATGGTCATTTCGGGAAGTAGAGTCGGGTTTTGCTCTTCGTATATGGTCACCATGTGCCCCTGGACATTTGGTAGAAGGGAGCACGCGCAGAGATGAGCGGATACCGTACCCGGCACTTTAACGACTCTTGAAGTTCTTCTGAACCACATGATGGTAGCTTGACTTAAATAACCTGGTTAGTGGCATGGCATGGTGGCGCCAAGTAACGTGACTATATATTTGCACGCACCATGTCTTCCCATGTCTTCCCATGTCTCCCAACTGTTTGCATATGGTTGACCTTTCCCAATTGTCCTTCTATAGTATGATAATGAACTTGGATTATCTTTAACATGACCATGCGGTCATACTTGAACTACTGTTGTAGGCGGCCCGATTTACATAGTCATCAATTATATCTTATTATTGCCTAAGGGGAAGCCTCGCAATTGTACTCTGAAACGTCCAACGTCTCGTCCATCGAACGAACTAAAGGACCCGCCATACATAGGCGCTCAGTACTTGAGGATTCATTAGATATAAGACGTGGCGGAGGCGAAGACAGACGTAACGTTATGTCCATGTCGCCATGTAACATAACCACGCGTTTGCAAGAATTACTTTTTCCCGTATTCCTCCAAACTAAATTGTATGTGGCTTAGCTGTCCGTACCTCCTTGGCTCCTATGATAATGAAGCTGATTTATTTATTACATAGCTGCCGTCCTTCAAGCCATCACACTGAGACTGTAGTGGTGAACGCCCTATTTGCGCTGTCATTAGTATAAAAAAGTACGGCCAGGAAGCCAACTAACTGCACATCGAAGTGACCAAAGATAACCAATCTAAAAGAAAAGAAAATGCTTCCTGTGCATAGCTGCTCTGCACTCGGCTGATTCAGCAAATATAACTAAATGGCTCGTGCTGTGCCCGCGTGGCGCCGAGCGTACGATGGTTCCAGCTTTACACCATGCCAGGCGGAGAACGTACTGGATTGGGCCGTTCAATAAATGCCTCGGGCACACAGTCCACAAGCCGGTTTGTGCTCTGACCGCGAGCGTGCGTCGCCTCCTGCGGTGGCACACCGTCCGGGTGATAGTGATAGCGCAGTCGATCAGAGCGCTCCGGAAGTCGTCCAACATGATGGTGCAGGCACTTGAAAACGAACGCCAACTACAGCAGGGTCAGCATGCTGATCTTCCTCTCGTCAGTGGCGGCCGTATACCTTCCAGAACGGCTCTATCCCCGGGGGGTAGCCTAGGCGATGCTCGACCCGGATCGCACACATGTCCACCACCGCAAACACGACGGAAATCACCATGAACAGGAGCATGACGCCGAAACGTGGGCTGATGCGGATCAGCTGCACCAGCGAACACCCATAAGCCCGCTGGATGATGTACACGAGAAAGCAGGTGGTGAAGATCCACCAAGGGTCCCTAGATTCGGATCAGCAACGCCAGGCGTGGAAAGAATTGCACTCGAACACCGCACCGGAACAGCGGCTCGAGTGGCCGAGTGGTGGTGAACAAGGCCTGACCCCGGTTGAAAAAGGCAAAATTGGCATAGATCTCGACGACCCAGTACGGCCGGACCGCCAGCAGGATGATCAGATACAGTCGCGTGCCTTAGGGCGGGAAAAAGCCGCGAATCTTCATCCATGCGATCACGTTGTGGAGGGAACGCGAAATTGTGAGACGCACGGCCGTGACTATGGCTGGTATGATGAACGTTCCGTGCTCAAGGGCCGGGGCGAGCTAAGCGTCCACATCAGCAGGGGATAGTGCCCCATTCCGCGCAATGAGGCAGCACAACTTACCTCTGCCACAATGAGTTTGTGCCGTCGCGCTCCCACCCTTCTGCTCCTGACAAGCCTCCTTTCGAAACCGCGATTGGACTAATGACTGCCCCAATCGATCATCTGGCTGACCTGTTCCGAAAGTGGCCACATACTTCTGGCCTGCCGAATCCGTGCACTAAATAAGTATATGGTACACTCCCAGGGTTGGAATCTTATAATGTCTACCATGAGCTTCTTGTCCGACCGCCACTAGTGTTAGGTCGAGCTGGCAAATTTACGCGGACTTGTGAATCCAGCGGTAATCTGAGTATATCTGTGTGGCTGTTGAATGTGTTGAATGTGTCTCTTTTATTTTAGTTTGGGATCCAATACCATACTGTAACTTGGTGGTTGCTGAAGGTGTGGTCGTAGCACCTTGGAAATAGCATCTGCAGATGCCGGTGAGTTTTCCATTTGCTTTATTTTTGGTCCTGAGCTAATTGGACCAGGACGCAACGGGTCGGTCGCTGGAAGCGTTGGATGCGCTGTTTGAGCGTCCATGGTACACTGTGCACAAGGTTGCATACGCCAGGATCGAAACGGTCGGCAAGGAACCGGGCAAACCAAGCGAGGCCGGACCATAGCATCTAGAATCGGCAAACAGGGTTTAACAGGGTTAGCGTACGAGTGAGGGCATCGCCAGTGGCAGTGGCGTGGGTGTGTTTTCGGTGTGGTGATGGCTGCTTGCGGAAGTCAATCCACCTTACTTCATCATCACTCAGTTGGCCCTAAATCAGGATTAGACACAGACACCACTCACTACTACACTATTGTGATCGTGTATACATCTCATCATCGACCCCTCCAAATGTTTTCTTCCCCGCAACCCCTCCCCAGAAGTTCAACCATTGTTTCCTCAGTTACCAATTACCAGCTACCAGCTACCAGCTACCATGCATCACCGTTATCTGGTATTTTCCCTCTTCCAGGCTGGAGTACTCGCTGCTCCGGCCTTTACTGGAGGCCCCGTAATTGTCGGCGAGAATGGCCGCACCAGCGCCCCTACCCACGGCCCCTACACTGGAACCCCGACGGTTACAGGTGCTGTCACAGCTCCAGGCACACTGGCCCCCTCCATCGCTCCCAAACTCCCCAACCCGACTGCCACCTACTACAATGCCGATGGTGTGCCTCAAAATCCCATGCCAGCCCCCTATGTTCCCGCTGGCGGGCTGGGAACCAACGGCACCGAGCCTCGCTACATGGTCGAGAGTGACTGGGACTTTGAATCGATCGCCCTCGGCGTCTACCAAGAGTACATCGAGCTGGACCTGTTCCACGATGGCCTCGCCCGCTTCAGTGAAGAGGATTTCAGAGCCGCCGGCATTGACCCCGAGGTACGGTCCCTGATCCAGTTCTTCGCCGACCAGGAGACCGGCCACGCCACCCTCCTCAGCAACATGCTGGGAGAAGCGGCCCCGAAGCAGTGCGTGTACGACTACCCCTACACGAATGTCCGCGAGTGGCTCGACTTTAACCAGCGCGTCACCCGCTACGGCGAGTCGGGTGTTTGGGGATTCATCTCACACTTGGACTCGCGTGAGGTCGCTACGCTGCTCTCACTGTCCATTGCAACCGAGGCACGTCAGCAGTTTGCGTTCCGGCAAATGGCCGGTCTCGCGCCCGTCAATGTCTGGTTTGAGAACGGCTGGCCCCAGTCGTGGCAGTGGACCATGCTCGCGCCTTACATTAGTTACTGCCCCGAGGGCACCACGCGCCTTGCCTGGCAAAACTTTCCGACTCTGCGCATCCTCAACAACCCTAACATCAACAGGATTGTGGCGAACAATACGCAAACAGATGGAAGCGAGCAAGTTGGCGACCGCATCACCGATCCCTCGCGATTTAACGTCAGTTCTGGCGACAGCTGCATCAGCGCGCAGGGAGTCGGTGAGAACTGCAGCCCGGCAATTTCTCGAAACCGCACACAGCCGCTCTCGTATCCTGGAAAGAGGGTCTTCTTCGAATGGGAGACCCCGGGACAAGCTGTGGGTCCCAACAACTCGTACGTCACCTCGTCCACCGCGGGCCAGCCCAAATTTGTGGCGTGGAGTAGCCAGTTGAACCTGACCTACTCGCCATTGACTGTGACTGAGGGTAATAGAGGGTGGACGACACAACCAGAGGGGTTTGTCTATGGGGATGATGGGATTATCAACGGGACTATGGCTGTGATGCTGACCGACACGGATCTGTTCGTGACCCCATTCAACTTGACGCAGTTGAACCCCCACATTGTGGCGCTTGGTCTGTACCAGGCTGGCTGAGTGGAGATAAGAATATTGATGCATGATTGAATCGATAGTTTACTTGCAATCAGACAGATTTGAGATGTTGAAGATCTACTCTCGACGCCAAAAAGCAGCCCATTCCATTTGTATAGAACCGACGACACGGGCGCACCGCGCGTAGATTCCTCAGTTTCCGATGAAGCTTCCAAGAACAAAGAAGAAGGCATAGAGATAGAAATAGAGCCGATGCCCGACCTCACCACCTTTTTGCAGTATTCTAAATGCCAAATAGCGGATAAAGCCAGCGGCATCTATGGAGATAGCGATGTATGCAAGTCTGAGAAAAAGACCATAATATCGATAGGAAATATGTTGTCGGCTTTGATAGCCCTACCATACGCCTCCTTGCGTCCAATCGCCGAAATCGCCAAGAGGAAGAGGATTCAGATTCGGATGTATTCATACACCGTCCCAGCCAACGGTATCTATGGCTATGCGGGAACTGCCCCCTCCGCGGTAAGCAGATTGCGCAATTGTCAAGAACTGTTTACAAATGTAATCTTTTTATGTACTGAAGACTCTGGCTCCACTTGGACCCGTGCATCCCGGGTTGCCCCAGGTCTTCTGTGGTATCGATATACTCGGGGGTCAGGTATCCATCGCCAGCCTAATCTAGCAACTTCAGACCTTACCCATTGTGGCTGTGTATGTGTGCTGTGCGTTTGGTCCTTGATGCCTTGTGAGTGGGGTCTTGCTCCCTGTCATAGAGGCAAAGTGCAGCCCCTAGACGAGAGTATGTAAGAGAAACATAGAGATGGGTCTTAGGATGTTTGCTCTCATCGTGAGTGCTTCTCTTGATCGACAATAAGAAGGACCCTCTAGCACCTGATCCACCACTGTAACGGGGGCTGTTGTCTTCATCTCCTGGAGTAAAACCCTCAGTAGGGAAAAAGCTCGCAGTGATAGTATGGGAAGTGAGTGGCTTCTAGGCTCAGGCAACAGGGGGTTGGTAATTGTATTGGTAGGAAGCGGGAGGATCTGTGATGTTGGCGGTCGTACGTCGATAGCTGAGGAGTCCGGGCACACAAAAGTCTAGCTATCCCTCTGTTCGAGGCCGCATGGATGGGGGAGGAGGCAGATGGAGGAGGCGATCAGTGGTATGTGCGGTCGTGCATAATAGCTGAGAAGACTCGGGATACCAGTCTAGCTATTCTTCTGTTCCAGAGCCGCGTGGGGACGAGATAAGGGGACGAAACAATCCGCTATATTGGTTGTCGTGTGTCGATAGCTGAGGCTTGAAGCAGCAAAGTCTAGCTATCCCCATGGTCGAGGCCGGACGGAGAGGGAGGAACCAGGCAGGGGAGAGGTCAAACTGTAGCATCGGCAATCAAATGTGGTGGCTAAGGAGGCAAAACACACAGGTCTAGCTATACTTGTAGCGATAGTAATGGTACATTGGTAGTTGAAGGCGTCCTGAAGAGTGAGGCCAAGGACTCTTCTGTTGGAGGCTGTGTGGAGGTGCGTAGTCATCTCGTGGTGGTGAAGACTTTCACTTGCAGCACGCCTGGTGCTCTCGCCCACAACATGACCATTTTTCATCTGCTCTTTTTGGGCAGGCCTTAGTTCCTTATTGTAAAGAAGGTATCTGCAAGAGTACTAATCTCCAGCACCGCGTAGAGGTGCCTCCAAGAGGATGATTTCGGATTTCGGATTTCGGAGTTCGGATTTCGGGTTTACTCATACACCATCCCAGCCACTCATGAAACCCGTGGCTATGCGGGAACTGCTCCGCTGCTTGCTAGGCAGCTTCGCAGTTAGCTACATTTGCTATGTACATATTTCTGCCTGCCTTCAATATGCGCCTTAGTTGAGGGCTTGGCTCCGCCCAGATTTAAATCTGGGGGTTCCCCAAGCCCTCCCTTGATCTCTGATGCCCAAAGACCTCAGTGCTCCGCCTGATCTATTTCCTCGTTGTCTACGGCTCCGAATTGCCCAAGGAGCCCAGTGCACGTATCATAAATTTGGCTGCTCGGATTGCTAGCTTCGGCGTGTTAAGGATCTTCTTTAGACTTCCTTCTCCCCCGGCACCCCCAACCTTCTGCCAAATATCCCTTCGCAAAGGATTTTGAAAAGAGGGCAGGCAAGGAGTACATGCTGCACTGTCTGGGTTGCTTTGCCGCATTGACAGTCTGCATCTGGTGTGTTTGGCACACCTCCTTGGTAGAGGTAGTGTCGAAGACCTATCTTCCCTGTGCGCAGTTGAACGATAGCCGTACTAAGTGCCCGATGAAGGCCCTGGTGGACCCTTAGTACTTTCTTTATCGGGGTTGGCGTCAGCTCGTAAACCGTCCTGCCGTGGGGGCTAGACCGCCAGTCGCGTTCCCATTGGGCATTTACTATCTCTCGTATCCTTGATTTTATGGCTGTTTGGAGGAGTCTCTGCTGCGCCGGTCTGGGTGCAGTGTCGTTGGTCATGACTTCTGTCCTCCTGTCACGCCGGGTGCGGACCTGCCGCCATCCTGTGCTTCTTTTGCTGCTGCTGTATCGGCTTGTTCGTTTCCGTCGATGCCCCTGTGCGAGGGTATCCATCGGAAACGTATGATGAGTTTGCGTTGACGAGCCTTCTCCAAGGCAACTAGGACGGTTTCCAGGATGTACTGTCCTGATTGTCTTCCCGGGATTTGTAGTGCTCGTAGCGCTGCTTGGTTGTCAGTGAAAATGATTGCGTGTTGTATTGGCCGGCAAAGGATGATTATCAGGGCCAGTAGGATCCCTTGCAGTTCGGCGGCGTATACTGTGGCCTCGGATTGTTCACCCTCCGCGGGCTGCGGCGCTAAGCTTGACCCCGGGCTTGTACAGCCAGTCTTCAAAGAAGCCACAAATATCCCAGAATTCATAGGTTCCTAGCGGTGCACCCACATGGAGAGGATGACGCATGTAGTGTTTATCAGCTACTATTATTATTAAGATATATTGCCAAGCGGTCTATCTTTGCATACTACTATGGTAAATGCTAAGACAATTTCTAGTTATCTTAAACATAATATAAAGCATACGAAGTCTCTTCCCAGTATGCTAATAAATCTATAAGATCTAATAAGATATTAATTCAACCACTTTGCCTCTGGGGCTGGGGTGGTAGTAAGAAAGAGATAAATAAGAAAGATATCTAATAAATATTCTTAATATATTTAATATTATGAATTATAGATGTATTAATCCGGAAAATTTATTCTACAGAAAGGACCAGTTATTACTAGTTTTATTTTATTTTAATAATTTCTCTAGTAAGACTGGGCTTACAGTCTCTGAATATATATATTTTTAATAAATTAATATTACTTACTTTCATTCCTAATATTTATTATTATTCTGGTCTTAAGTTCCTGGATATCTTATTTATGTAGATTTCTGCTATTCCTGCTGGTAATTTATTATAATCTCTTAAACCATATGCTGCTTTCTTCTTATAAAATTCTTATAAATATTGATAAGGCCCCGTGGTATAGGGCTTAAACAGAAACCTATTATATTATTAATAATTATAGTTCTATCTTATCCATTATCTGTTCTATATGCTATCTCTATTTGACTTGATACAAGCACAATGACGAGAAATTGATGTAATTCCAGTAAATAATATTATTATAATAAAACTTACAGTTATTATGAAGTCTCTTATTCCCTGTGGTCCAGTACAGCAACAGCTTCTGGGGGTAATATAAGCTTTGAGAATTAAATAATATTTTTTAGATTGCAAAGCATCTCCTTAGCTAATATAAATCTATTATTAAAAGCTATTAGAAATTAATATAATTCTATAAATACATTCTTTGGATTGCCCTTGTTCAAAGCATCTAAGAAGATAAGGAAATAATTATAAATAGGCTTGAATAACTGCCTGGGTATTTATTATAATTTATATATTTCATGATATAAGCAGAGATAATAAATAATTTACTTTACTAATTAAAGCTGCTCAAATCTGGCTTACTTAAATTCTGATAAATATAATACTAGCCCGAAATTTTGATGCTCTAGGAAAAATTGAAACAGTATTATAATTATATAATAATACCTGATACTAATAAACTGACAGTTAGAATATATATACCTACCTGATTTGCGCAGGTCCTAATCTTTACTATAGATATAAAATCTATAATAACTTCTTTTCCTCAGTTTCAAAGACTTTAGAAAAGCTGTTATATTATTATTATAAATAAATATATTTTTTATTTACTGCTATTTATAATTTACTGATTACTATGTCAAGCCCTTTATCAAAGAGAAGATCTGGTATATCTATAATAATCTTAGTTAAATTAATTATTTTGCTCATGATAAATCATAGATATGCCTGCTGTTTGATATGGTCAACCTGATTAAAGTGAGGGTACAGTATCTATATAATATTATTATCAAACATAATTACAGAATAAGACTTATATTCTAATAGCTTCAATTCTATAATCTTATAACTTTACAATAATATTTATCTGCAGGATTGAGCTGATTAGTTTTATAGATTTATCCTGGGAATATAATTATATAAATTTAAGATAAAAAGATTTTAAGTAATAATTATACAGATATACTGCAGTCCTGGAGATAATTTCTTCTACTGGTAATATCTTATCCTCAGGAATAAGAACATATTAAAGTCCTGTGCGAGCTGTATAAATTACCTGAGTATCAACTAGCTTAAACTGTTTTTACCCTAGAATTTTAAGCTTTAAATAATCAGTCTTTACAGAGGTTCAGTCAAGGCAAAATATAAACTATATAAATTATATAAATAATTTATCAGGACTATAGCTTAGATATTAATTAAAGAAATATAATCTTTTTTTATATTTTATAATTACTCTGCTCCCGCAAAGAAATACTGCTTTCATGATATTCTATTATTAGATCTAGTGAAAACTTCCGGGTAATCTGAATAAATCTTATCATTATTAGAGAGAGCTAATAAAGAATATAATAAAAGTAATATATACTTATTATTATTAATATATTATTTACAAGCAGCGAGGTGCAGCAGTCTAGATTAATTTTTTTAATAATTATATATTTTAGAAATATCTCTTAGTTAATAACCTGCAACGTGGGATGGTTCCAGGTGAAGTACAGAGATATAAGATATGAAATAAGATAGTTATTATTAGTAATAACTGTCTAAAGCCTGGAAGATACTTAAAATAAAGAATTATTACAGAGTCTCTTTATAATTATCTATAACTGCGTGTTAATAATTAGAAGCTTATATTATAGTATAATATTCTCTGCAGGTCCCATGCTCTTAGAGTACTCTGAAATTATATTATTAAAGTTAATAGCTAGTATATTAATAGCAGTAGTAAGATTACTTAATTAAATATTTTTATAAATATTTTTAAATATCTGCCGGGCTCTTTCTCCATCTGAGAATCAGAGTATCTTAAAAAAAAAGTATAACAGATTTTAATAATATTCTAGCTCTGCTTAAATATACCTGACAGAGATCTTCTGCTTAAAATTAAGTATCTTATTAAAACTGCAACTTCCGGTGTTTTGACATGCTTTATAAGGTAGCAGGTATTTACTATACTATAAGTTCTATTTATTAACCTGAAGAATAAAAGCAGTAATAAATAGCTAGTTAAAAAAAAAAAATATAAAATTCTTGAGAGAAAGAATTTAGATAATCTAGATTTAATAAAAAATATATATATTTTCTTTTCTCTCAGTATTTCTTGCTGTTTATATATAAAATTAAAGTTAAGATATTATCTTTTGCTTTATCTACTTATATAGCAAACATGCGGTTGAGTTCTTCCTTGACTTGGCTAATATAATTAATTTAGTTATAACTGGACCACGAGGTCCTGGAGCCAAAAATAGAAGATATTTATCCTGGTTCTTAGTATTTATTATAGATGATAGTATCCCCCCGGACAAAGGAAATATGGTTAAGAGGAGATTAAAAGATATTATTATATTATTAAATAAGTAACTGAAGCTGCTCTTAAGTAAATCTAATTATTTAATATAAGAAAATCACATTAAAATATATAGTAATATTCTTGAATCTGCATCTGTTATCTTTGGAAAAAGAATTACAAAGAAATATACTTTAGCTTAAAAACATAGAAAAAACTCTGAAATTGTCTTATCTTATTATAAAAGTTTTCGGTATAACGCGTGACCTTGGTAGTATAACTTTTATAAAGAGAATAAGATATTCCAGGATTATTATTAAAATATATATTTTGTTAGTATACAGATGGCAGGCTCTGACAGTCAGTAGTCATTGCTAATTTACTCATACCGCAGTAATAATTAGGCTTGGTGCAGATTAGACAGCTGCTATTACTCCAAAAGTAACGAGACAATTCAACAAATAAAAAATATCATGATATACATGATCATAGATATCTTCTGTACGAGGACCTGGGAAAGGGAACAGGCAGGATTAAAAAGAAGCAGGAAGATTTACTAGATAACTACCTGAGACTATAATTAATAATTATTAGATTTTAAAGTTAAAATGTCTGCTTGGTATAGAGGACCCCTCAGCGGGAAATAAATAAATATTAAAATATATTATTTCTAAAGCAAAGACTAGTTACTAATAAGATATTTTAATTATAAAATTTAATTATAAGTAAATAACTTTTAAAGTTTCCTTGCAGTTCCTCACTGGAAGTCTGACAGTAGCACAAGGCGCAACTAATCAAGATTATTATTATATTTATTACAGCCCTATACTGTTTGTTCTGGTCAGATCTATAAATAATAATACCATGGCTGCTTTGCATGCTCCAAGGTAATGACTAGTCCTAATATTTATATAATGCTATGGGTGAGGAGGCTTAAGTATTACTAGTCTAGATATATAATAACAAGTCTAGAATATCTATTTAGACAAGATAGCATCTAAATTAACAGATATATACAAGATCCCTAGACTGTATTGATCTACTCCCCGGCCCTTAAATAAATGTGCCAGAGATAGGCTATGTAGGCTTGTGCCTAATCTGTTACTAATCTGGTCAGATTATTCGAACGCATTATTTACCAGGGATCCAGGATAGGAATACAGGACTCGGATACATATAATATATAATATACTAAACTCTACTTACGTGTAATATCAAGACCGTGCAAACTTACAGGTTGGAAAAGGCAGCTATCGAACCGGTGAACCATAAACAAAGCAAGGGAGAGTTTTTAAAGAAAGAAAAAGATAAAAAAAAAAAAATAAGTAATATAATAAATAAATATTTTAACTAATACTAGATATACAGTAAATATAATAGATAAGAAGTGCGAGCTAGCTAAATCTTTATTTTTATCTAATAACTATAATAAAGATCACGCTAGTTAATTATTAATTTTCTCAGATTACATTAGACTTGTCATCTCATGGTATAGTATCCTAGAGATAAATATATATATATGACTTCTAGAGAATAAACCTTACTATATTATCTTTTAAATACTTATAGGTTACCCGGAAACCTGCCAACAATCTGAAACCCCATATATTATAGAAATATATATAATTATTGGATCTCCAATAAGTATTTCTCTATAATATATATATATATTACCGTTATTTATTGCTCTTTCAGACGGATTGTCCGGTCCAGATTTATAAATATATACGCGACTAGCATATTTATCTATCCAGTATAGACACTGACCTGGTCTCTGAAGGAAGCAGATAACTGTCTCAGTAAATAACTTTTTTAATAATCAGCTGTCTTTGGAGGAAGATTATTATAAAATATATTATTAGAATTCTGGCTATTAACTAATTTCTAGCTATCTAGATCTGGATGATGAAAGGCTTCTCTGATATTAATTATATTATATAAAAAGATATTCAACAGAGGTATAAAAATATAAAATTAGATAATATTAATAATTTTTTCTATATTTTTCTTCAGATTTAACAGGTTCTTAGAAGTAAATTCTCTGACAGATAAACAGTCCACAGATTTATTAAAAAAATAATTAATTAGAATAATATTCTTCCCATTTCCTATTTCTTCAGTAAGTAAGCTCTGGTCTGGCTTATACTACTAGTAAGAAAGTTGACTGGCATAAATATATTATAAAAGTTAAGCTAAGGGGCGAGGTAGCGGGATACTATAAATTTTTAGTATAATAATCATATCAGACTAATAGTTAGAGCTATACCATGTACCATAGACAAATAATAAGATAGGTTTTTAAGACATGATTAATAATTAAATATAGATTTAATATAGTATCTTTTGGTAAATAATTAAATATATTTAAAGTACTTCTCAAACCCAACACATAGCCAGAATACTAAAATTCCTTAAGTATCTCGCAAACTCAGCCTTATCATTATAAACACTGGATAGTATTAGATTTAATATATAAATATCAGGATATACTCTGTCTATTTTTTCTATTCTTATTCTCTGACAGAATTCCGCTCCCAACCCGTTAAATTAGTTCTGGATTTCCAAATAATAACTTACTTAAGAAGAGAGTTAACTTTTAAAAGCTTTTATAAAATATATCTGGACAGTAATATACTTATCAAGGACTTGGTTATAGAGCTAGAGAGATATAATCTAGTTATATTACATAGTCTAATACTAAGTATGGAATATATAAATTAAACTATCTATAATAAATATAATCTTCTCAGCGCTCAGTATAGCTTAAGTACTGATCAGATTCTGGAAGCCTGTATTATAGACTGTGAAGGCCGTATATGTAATACAGTCCCAGATATATTAACAGTTATTCAAGAAGCTGGAGAGTTGCTAGATATTATTATTAATATTATAATCAAAATATATTTTATGAAATAAGTATATCTAATTATAAAGTATCTGATTCCTTGAGATAACAGCAGTCTAAACTTATACTGTCATTATCAAGGCTCTTGCAGGCATGGTATTATAAGTCCAGTAATCTATATATAATTATAAAATACTATAATTATATTTATTTCTAGTTTAAAGGTGATGATCTCCTATCTACCCTCAGACTTTACCAGTCTGTTATAAATAGACCAGGAGAGAAAGCTTTGACTGTACTATTTTTATAGATTATATCTGATATTAAGTACAGGCTATTCTGGCTATCTAAGATCAAGTTCTGGTTATCTATAATAATATATACTATTTTCCCACTATAATAACAATCTTTAATTTAGCAGTTGAGCCTCTCATGCCCAAGAACATATATAGTACTGTCCTAGCCTTGAATATCTGCTATTTAGCTCCCATGATTATTGATGTAAATTTATACTCTGGAGATATATAGATTACAGTACTAATAATCCTAGAATTTATACTTTTATTTTACTTTCATTATCTCTTATCTTTGTCAGACCCTATACTGTTATTATATATTTAAGTCAGATAACTAGTGAGTTAAGGAATTAGAATGCTTGCTTAGTTATATAATATATATAAATTAGGCATTGAGTTGACAGCAGATAAATAAGATCACAAGAATATATAAAGATAGCCTGAGATAATTTATCTTTACTATACACGCTAATTAGTACTTGTAAGATTATATTAGTTATATAACTATACTTGCTCTACTACTCAAATCTGTTGTCTAAGTACTCTCTATCTTATTACCCGGGTTATCCATAAAACCAGTCTTTTGCTTGTTATTAACCTAGGACCTCGGGTGAATTTCCAGCACGGCCTGCTGAATACACTGGCTGTATACCTAATAATCAAAAATAAACAAGTATCTATATATTTATATTATATTATTCCTACTAGTTGCACCTGCTCACTATCAGTCTCCGATATATCAAATACTTCGTGAGAATATATTTCTAAATATTATAATCAAGTACCAGTCCTTATGCTCCATGACCATGTTTTAAAATTCCTACAAAGCATATCAGTGAAAAGTCAATCTCTGTTTAATAAAAGATTATCTCAGCTAATAATTCACTTATAGATTACTGAGATAATTATAATCTAATATATCTAGCGGGGGTGTCTTAATCTGCTATCTACTTTCTAAAAAAGCATTTTGCTTATGATAACACACACAGATAATTTATTAACATATAGTAATTCTATATTATCCCTATAGCAGAGAATCCTGAATGTAGCTGGTATAAGATTAATATATATATATCTATATATAAAGATAAAAGAAAATAAAAAAAAACCAGTAAATATGTAATTCTCAGGCCCGGGAAAAATATTCTGTTAACAGAGTTACTAGAGCATTCAATTCATAGCAGATAAATTAAAAAGACTGAAGACTAGTCTATATCCCGGGACCAGCTATATAGACTATCTGCAGAAGAGAAAAAATACTAGAAGTAGAAGAACTTTAATATTAAGTACAGATCCACATAATAAAGATTACTAAATAAAGATTAATAGTTCAGAGACTGGAATAGCTTAAATTCTATAGCTCTTTAATTTTTCTGGACTCTTGCACCCCCAATTAATATCCACCAGAGCTTATAGAACTATTACAGCCATTAATAGCACGGATCCGGTCTAAGGATCAGAAGTGATTATGAATAATACTCATATCTTTATCATTCAGCTTCTTAGAAGGGCCTATATTATAATCTGTAATTTATTTTAGTAAGATATTCTAATGCTATTCTTATATATTAATATCCACTAATGGGCCTAGTTACCCGATTGTAAAGTATATAATAAAGATTAAAGATCTAATTATCTATATATCCTGAATAACTCTCCAAAGAGGGTAAGTGAAAGATAATTATAAAAGTAATATTTTCTGAGCTTACTTACATGCATGCCTAATTCTGAAGCTATTTGTATCTATCAAAATTGGTGATTAATAAAGCAAACAGCAAGTACCAGCTTTGTCTGGCTAATAAGAGTCCTCTTTAGAGATATCAGAATTTAACTGGATTATAAGTAGTAATATTATTCCTTGCATGCCGCGGGACCAAGGCTCCGGAATACTCTGTATTATTATAGCATAGCATTCATGAAGTATGCTTGCTAATACAAGCACAGTTTTATCTTTTATATATAGTAAAGCTCCCCTAATATATAAAAAAAATTTTAATAAATATTTTTTTTTTTCTATCTTATATTACAATTTCTTATATCACATTTGGCAGTGTCTTTAACTATATATAACAAAATTTCTAAGTCTAGGATCACTGTCAAAAACACTAACTAAAGCAAAGAAGAAGGATCTAGACAGACTTAATATTATATAAAAAATATTAGAGTCTGCAGCTTTAATAGATAATCTATCTTTAGAAAATATTATTATTTACCCCTGCTTTAACTTAGTCTCTGGAATTAAAATTAACTTTTAGTCTTCTGCTAATTTGGTTCTTCCAGAGGGATATTATTATTAAAATAAAGATTATAGTAAATTTCACCCGCCAGCTCTCTTCCGGTATCTTAGTATTTTGATTAGTAAGATTAAAAGAGAGTCTATATACTCCTAAGCACCAGATTAAAGCTTTTAACATACAAAATAAGCTAGAAATGCCAGATATATAATACGTAAAGTGCAGAAGCCCTGAGCTGATCTACCTGATAATTAATCAGGAGCAGATATCTCTGTTAATATATAAAGTATTAAAATATGATAAACTCCCAGCTTATAAGCTTATATTCAGTATCAAGTAAAAGCTTTAATTTAGAGATAGCTGAAGAAATAGAAAATAAGTCTTAGTATTTAAATACTCCGTGAGATATAAGTTATCTATAGTAAAGATAATTAACTGGTAAAATATATAAGCTACAGTTCCGGGCCTCTATTATAGTTAATAATATACGGATTCTTATAAATAATTTATTATACTATGATATTTACTCTTTCCAGTAGTATCCCCAAAAAAGCGTATGTAATATGAGCTAAGGGGGTATATATATTTTTTATTTCTATTAACTCTTATAAAATATTCTCTTTTATAGACTCTGTTTATCAGATAAAATATTATTATAGCCTGATTCGACTCCTGGCTTGATAACAACAGGCAGAAATAAGATAACAGAATTAGATAGGTTACCAAGATAATATCTTACAAGTTACAGCTATCAGCAACATGAATCTAGGATCAATACTATGACATTACATTCTCCGCGGGGACGCCAACCGCGATCAGGCATAAATATAAAGATGGATACTTGAATTAGAGCAGGCTTATCCTTGTCATGCTATCCAACCACAGTCTAGGATATTGTCCAGGTGAATGCAACTTTAAGGTTACTTCAAGGAATCATTATTATAGGTACCATGTTGGGAAAGTGTCTGATCTGTTATGAATCAAGGCTCGACTAAGTAAAGAATAGAGCTTCGTATACGGAATTTATTCCGTATGGAATCAGATTAATTAGAAATTAATCTGATATTCATCTTATATATAAACCCTCATGTTCTCAGATATGAAGAATAATAACGAACCTTCCTCTGAATCACAACATGATCGACACTGACACAGCCTGGGATAGGTTATTAAACTTTAGATTTCCAGCGCCTGTCACCTCAGAGCGGCCACAACCCGGGGTCCCCAGAGTAATGATGGCGACTCCCGAGCACGGGAGCTTCCGCCGTGAACTTTTTAGAAGCCCGCCGATCTAGCCAAGTTTACCTGAACTCACCCCGGGAGCAAGCCAGGGCACAGGACCGCGGTCGCTTACAGTACAGCTTGACTGATCTCGTATTCCTTGCTTGGAAATCAGCGATGATCAACAGGGTCAACAGACTATTGGTCCTTTATGCGCCGGTCGTCGCTGAACGCAATGGTTGCACCGATCAACCGAACAGTTTCTTCAAGGATGAGTGTCTCGCAGCAACCCGGTCAATCATGTGATCGTACATATTCACCATGAATATCTCGATCGGAATTCGAGACACGCCACCAGGAGGCTCTACAACGGCATGGCAAGATTCCACGTCCGATGAACTCATTCATGCTGTACCAGCTGGCGTACAGTGATCGAGCGAAGTACTGGCTCGCCCACGATGATCATCAGGCCATCTCTATCCTCACCGGACGCTGCTGGAAGATGGAACCCCCCACATCCGTAAGCAGTACAAGACGCTCACAGTGATGGAGAAACAAAAGCATACTGAAGCGCACCCGGAATATCAATTCTCACCGTCAAACAAGAAGAAACGATCGCGGACTGCAAGACCCAGTTCTCAGAAATTGGTATTACATTCAAAGGCATTCCCCAAAGTCAGCCTCAGTTCTCAGCCTCATGCTTGGTCTACTTCATTAAACAATGACCGCGTCAGTAGACCCTCCGCAGAACCATTCCTTACAGAAGAGGAAACTCTCCTCAAAAGCATTCCATCAGATCCAGATAGTTCTGGACCATTGCAAAGTGCATCCTCAGTGTGGTGGCAGGGGACAACCTACTCTCAGATAGTCTCTGCTGAGCAAGACTCCACGGGCACTCAGCCTTGTTTTCCTGTCATCACGGGCCAGCCGGGGATACCAGACTCTGCTTACTTCGTTCCCTAATTTGGATCCCCTGAACTCGAAGCTGTCAATAGATAGTCTGCTTTACTGCCACTGTCTGTTTCGTATGAGACTTGTAAGGTTGACGAAGAATTACTTATAGAAGGGACGCAGCGGGTTGCAACTGTAGGCCAGTAAGTAACACATCTGGTTCTTGCAGCATATTTATCACAGATTTTGGATATTCGTGTCGATCGCCTTGAATGCAAGGGTCCCATGTATATTATTTATTTTTGGTTATCTCGAATAGTGCGTGTATAGGCCAGTATTTGCATATTAGGCAATGACTTCCTCGGTAGGAGGAGGAAAGGAGACCATGTCCGCGCCTAAAACAATAGCACCTCACTTTTCTGCAGATGACCGGTTCAGAGCGACCATTCGGGAAGGCATAGCCCAGGGGTCATAAGAGCAACAGATCCCCGCACAACAGCCCAAGTACCCGGAAAATGTTTATATACCCCTGGGAGCCGACATGGTACTCTTAAGAGCAACGCCGCTCCCCTGATGCCCGCCATTCATCACAGAAACAGCAAATTTACTTCCTGCCTTTTAACCATATGAAAATTATCTTAGATGCTACCTAGCAGGCTGTACCACAGGATGACTGGACAGAAACAAGATCTGCACTTCAATAATTCAGGATGGGTGTGTAATGGCAGGCGCCAGCTATCTTCATGCGACATTCCATCATACCCTGTCGCTGCTGCGTAATTTGAGTCTGCCATTAAACCAAGGCTATAATAAAGTAGATGACAGGCCACTCATTGCGAACACAGAAAAACCCAAACCAGGTTTTTTGGGGCGTGTGCTAGTCTTCTTACGGGTCATACCTTTTTTTTTGCATCTGTGCACAGGCCGACCAAGCCGATCGTTTACTCATGGACGAGCAGCACCCACCGCCTCCGCTGGTGTACAAATATTCCGGGGGACTGAGAAACGAATTGGGGACCAGCGAGCGGCTTAGTGGACTTGCGATTGCAGGAGAAGGCTCTGTATCGGCTGCAGCCCCATTCCGTCAGCCCCAAGAGGATACCAATGCTACCGAGCCTGTCGAGGACCACCGAAAGACGTTGAAGGCACGTACTAAGGTAGATTCATGTATTATTGCATTCAGAATGCAGTGTAACTGCCACCATCTGCTGAGCAAGCGTTAGCTGATAGAAGGATAGCAGCGCAGGGTGAAACGAGCTTGTGAGAGATGTCATCGTAATAAAATCTCAGTGCGCAAATCACAAGAAACTGAGATAATATGACGAGAGTTTAGTGGGTGATGTTTCTGACTAACGGAATTGGCTCCTAGTGTTCTCATACGCCCTGCGAAGCGTGCCGGAAAGCCAGGAGTGCGTGCGTTCCTCAGTCGGATCGGCCGAGGGCGAACCATCGTACTACGATCTGTACCGAAACACGAACAGAGAAGTCGCCAATCCACAGGGCTTATGCAGACCAGCCTTCTAGTGACACCTTAAGAACGTATGTGGCTCACGCCAGCGCATCCATGGAGGAACACCGATGGAGCGTGTCCGATATGGGCCGCGCTTCAGATGTCGCCATCCCAAGAGACAGTGGTGCTGAACGTGGCTCACCCATTACGTGCCCTGCAGAAGTTACTGCTCGTGGTGAAAGGTATGAGGTTATAGATGATGGCAACAGCACTCTCCCTTCAGTCTCCTGGTAATCCATCATAATCTGTAGCCACGGGGGTACTAGCAACTCGAGGTTTCGCACAGGGCAGGTGCAGATGGTTGTTGATGCAAGCTGTGGCGGGGGAAGTCCGTCATAGGCAGTGCTGCGGAAACAGGCGCCAATGGATCCCAGGGAGGCGATAGCATTGGAGACTCAGCCGGGAGCGCAAAGCTGCCTTCCTCAACATGCTGCAAGCGAGGAAATCTTGGGACGCTCGGTGGCGCAGTTTCTAGGATATAACAGAGCCCGAGTGCATCGGACGAGGGAATAGGGCCCGGTATATCAAAAGAGGGACCCGGAGGGTACAGCTCTTGTGAGTGGTCTCCTCAGAAGGGCATGACGCCGCTTCTGCTCGGATGCTGAGGCTGTTCAGCCTCGCCTCCAAGGGGCCACCCTGCCGCCTGCGGTGCAGGAATAGACGGGTGTAAAGAACCGTCGGTCTCGGACCCGGTAAGATTGTCGGCTTGAGACCAGGTCCAACCCCAGAAAGATGCGGGCAACGTCTCCCACGAGTATGGCTCCGTAGCCCACGGCATCGAGTACCATGCATCTTCCGTAGGATCCCCTGTCGAGTTGTCTGCGGGCATATACGAGTTCGGGAGTGCGATTGCGCTAAGCGGGGGTCGCCAGCCTGCATTTACGCCAGTTCCGGATGGTCATCCCGTTCGATAACGTCGGTGCCAACGGACAGGAGTCATCGTGTCATGTCACGGTGCCGGAAGGCCAGGTCGAGCATCGTCACTCGACCTCGGTGTGTGGCTTCAATCCTCACAAGAAACGGGAACCGTTTGCGTAGTAGGAACGCGGAAATTTGCATGTCTATATGATGAATTATGATACAATGTTGTTCATGATAGGTTTGTGCTTTTTTACGAATGGTTCCCAAGGTCACATTTTACTATGTATTACTGTGATATGTTTATGAACGAATAGAACAGCAGTGAATGAGTCGCGGACGTTTGCTTCATACTTAGTTGCCATAAATTAAAAATCATCCCATCGCACAGGACAGGTTTAATGGGGGCAGGCGCTCCTAATACTATATCTCTGAATCGGATCCCGTGGAAACATTCTGTGTGATCAGCCGGCTGGAGTCTTGCCTTTGAACTCTTGTTACAGCAAATTATCTATCCCTGGACGCATAACTGCACGGACTTCGAGGAGAGTGTATTTAATCTTCCTTTAGCTTATTTGCATTTCATATATTTGCTCCGCAGTTGAGTGTCTGAAGTTTTCCGTACAAGGGTCTGTAGAATTACTGGCTTGCTCCCATAGCTCATTCGAGTTCAAGCGGTGCTTCTGTACTGTCGAGCGGCATACGTAGCGGTCGGACACAATCCTGTTTCCACATAATCCAACCTTGTCAGCATAATGTAGAGCTAGGGTAAGATGAAAAGGTGATTTTCCATAAGCCACCACGGTAAAAAGGCCGTCAAAATCCAAACCTGTCGGACAGAAGCAGAAGCTCGCTAAATACCCATTTACTGCTCCTAAAGATTACCTTCCATGCACCTCATATTTCTGATGCCTGGGCATGAAATTAGAAGGGGTAATAGGACCAAGCATTTTCCGGACTTGACCTCGTGGTTACACGGGCAAATGCACGTGCCGGCCATATTTGACCATCTCACCATCTCCAACTACAACAGGAGGGCCGCGGAGGTCAACCATCAAGAATGAAAGTATGTAGCATCTGGGTGTCCCGGTGGCCCAAGGCCGACGCCGTGAAAATGCTTATAAGCCAACATCTCCCATCTCCCATCTCCCATCTGCCAGATCCAACTTCCGCTCCGTCAGAGACATTGCCTCCAGCTTTCTCAGACCTGTATGAACAGGACAGCCAAATCCAATCCGTTGAGTGGTACGGGATATGGGTTGCTCCCTTGCTGGGTGCCTGGCTTCTCACGCGGTTGGCGTACCAGCTTGGTCGGTGGACTGTCCAACGCACATCGCGGCCTCCCTTGGACGGCGTCTCGGCCGCGAGTTGCCGTGGCTTCTCCAGACTATTGACATCGCCACCGCATTCGAGGTCATCATGGTCGGGGTGCTCTTGGGCGCCAATATTGTCCTCCTACTCGTGTCCGCCCATGCTGGGCTGATGTCCAGCAACGCGCGGCGAAGCCCGCTGTCCTGAACTTATTGCCGCTTGGTATGGGCCTGACCTTTGGCCTCCCGGCCCATCTGCTCGAAATCAGCCGCTCTGCCGTTGCGTGGTGGTATCGCTGGTTTGCGCGGGTGATGGTGCACCCATTCCCTGCTTCATGGAGCCATTGCCATCGCCAGAGCGGATAACCTGATCCCCTCGATGAGGTATGACTGGGTTGCCTTACTGGTCAGTCACCACACCGCCTCTTGATGATGATGATGACTGTGACCTGAGAGCCATACATACCACTAACCAGAGCTAGGGAGCTGCTGCCATTCTGATGATGATCTCCGTGACCTTGCATGCGGTCGTCCGACGGCACTGTCAGGTCGCCATGAAAATTCACTACCTTCTGCCGGTGACGGCAATGGTGGCCCTGTGGTACCATACGTGGGACCAAGGGCCAGAATCCCGCTGGCAAGTGGTTGGTACTGGGGCCCTATGGATCGTGCTGAGTGTCGTTGCCGTCTCTCATGCAATTTTTGTCCAACAATACTGGAGTGCTGGACGGCCCACCGTAACTATATGTCCCTTTCATGAGCTGCTTCGCATGGACATTACAGTCTCCTCCCATTGGTACATCCGGTGGGGGCAAAACATATATCTTTGGGTGCCACATGCGGGATTTCGCTCGTGCTTCCTACTCCAGCTCTTCTATGTTGTCTACTGGGATGACCCGCCCGGACCGCGCATCCTGCACATTCAGACCTGGCCACGAGCCTCCAGCCTCAGTACACGACTCTACCTCCGCGAACGGCTATACCAGCGTCGACAGCCCGCACTGTTGCTGGGGCCATACGGCTGATCAATCAGCTTTTCTCTGTTTGGGACGATCGTGTCCATCGCCGAGGACATTGGCATGTTGCAAGTGCTTCCCTATATTCGCATGCTCGTCCAGGCGAGCGAGCAGCGGCGGGTCATGGTACGCAAGTTGAAAATCGTGTGGCAAATGCAAGATTTTGGTATGGCCGTCTCTCCATGCACTGTCCGAACCCGCAGAGATCTTAATGAATCCTAGACCACCAATGTTGGCTGGGTGATTGGATGCAGGACCTTTTGGACCTCGACCTCAGTGAATTCAAGGTATATGATAAATCCTCTGCAGCCGTTAATAATGCTGCCCTGACTCCAATAGATTCTTGAATTTCATCTGTATTACCTTACAAAGGCGACATCCGTCAACCCGGTGACGGGTTCGGAGAGCGAATCAAGCTGTGTCAAGGGCCACTGATGGCCAGAGAAATCGTCCAAGGTCACCTGAGCAAGCGTCGTGCGAAGCTAGCCGCCGGTAGTAGGTTTGATTCCCTTCGACCGTTATACCTGTCGACCTACAATATATGTGAGAGGGGGGATGTCGAACATGCACCCCAAGACTAATGATTTGCCTACCATAGTGTGCGCCCGCCAGTCACTGCGCCAAGACGTCCGAGATATAGTTCAGCCACAGACGGTGCAGACATCAAACTGTGAGACTTTGACCTCGAGCCGTGTCAGATCTGGGAGGCCTCTTGTCGCGACAACGACGCCGCCACTGATCCTGCACAAAGTGATCATCAAAAGTGGGTTGCTCCTCACATTATGGAAGGTGACTCAAAAGCAGTGAGTTCCAACATGCCTTGTAATATGAGACACCCGTCTTTACGCGCAACCGATCCCATGTGTGGCAGGGGCATGCATCGTTACGGCTCCACTTCTCTATCTAGTCCGATGTCTGGACGCTCAACTTGGACAGTACTGGGTCTTGAGGTCTCGGGCCACTTGTTGATGGGCTATTAATCGGTCGCCGGTTTGGCCACGCTGCTCGATAGACATTCCGGGCACATCCGGTGCGCCGCCGGAACAGATTTCCCCGGGCTGGATAACCCGCCAGGTCCTACGAATGCTGACCATGGCATGTCGAACAACGACGACTGCCTCAGAGCTCACATTATGGCTGCTTGGCGCTGCTCTGTTCTGGTATGCTTTGCGTGTAACGTTGCACGAACAATCGCCTGCGTGCGATGAGCAGCTTTGGAACATGCGATGGCGCATGCACAAAGAACACCCGACCGGGGCTCTGTCAGGTCGCTGTCTGCGCGTGCCCTACTGTTGCTGACCAGACTGCCATACGGCCAGTTGATATTGTCGCAATGAGCAGAACAGCCCTTTCGTTGACGGCGCGGTCTGGAATCGACGACGCTGCCCCCACAGAGCAGCTCCCTCTCATTCCCTAGGGTCCATCGCTTGGCGACTATGTCTATGAAGGTATCGAGCAAGATCAGAGGTTTGAGGTCAGTTTGGCAAATACCATGCCGTATACTAGCATCATCAGAGTTATCCTTCCGGCAGGTCGTCGATCTGGAATTTGCCCGTGATGGGTAGATGGGTAGTTGAAGATAACCGCGGCAGAAAACTCTGCTTACGGTAATTTCCCAGCTGGTCTTTCATACCCTTTCATTTTGCCCAGCTGGTTGCCCGGGGGATTGGCATAGTTTGACTCACGTTCCACCACATTTGGCCCGCAGTCCTAACTCAGCGTTTCAAGGGACAAAGAAAGAAATTCATACTGCTCTCGGGCGCGGATTCTTCCAGCGCGACAGTCCAAAACACTATAAATGGCATGTGGACGACAGGCAATTCTCCCATCTATCCAGCTTTCTCTCAATGCCGAGTTCAGGGCCTTCTCATGCGAGAACTGCCCACACGTGCATTAGCAATCATACAAGAGCGTACGTTCAGATCCCGAAGCCGCCAAGACTGCAGCTACTTATTGGGAGGCCCTACAGGGCGCAGATCTAGAAGGCACGCTGTCTGTGAAATTTCATCATCACATACACACACCATTCCCGAAGGAGCCGAAGAGTTGTCTGACATGGAGACGATCAACCTGCAGCGCAGCGACGAGAAACTACCCTACGTACATGAGACCGTGGTCGTCGACTGCTACCTGTCTTCTTATGAGAATCCCGAATACCTGACCTGGAATGGGCCCAGTATCCTATCACCGCGTACGCACCCCGAGGATGTCTTCCGGTATGCCAGTGCCATGCTGTCATACCCCGTCGATTGGTTAGAAATGCACCTTGCGGTCGTCCACAAGTACACGTTCAATTGGGTCGCCATCCCACCATTCTTCCTTCCGCGCGTGGAGTGCAACCTCGGCAACCTTAGGCGGCTCCGCAATCAGATCTGGGAGGTAATCCGTCCATACATGCGGACCATTGATCATGCAAACTACCGGTTTCAGATGTTCGTGTGGCCAAGGGCCGAGCGGGAGCCGGATACCAGGGGAAGATTAGGAGTGTTATCAGGGTCAAACACTATCGATCTGGAAAGAATCCTGGATCCAGTTCGTTTTGTTGGAAACATCTCTTGCGGCTTTTAGTATGGAGGGCATACTGTGTTCTTCTGTAGCATGCGACAAGAGGTTAGAAGGCCGCATTCAGGTAGACTACATTGGTTTATGGCTTCATTGTTTCCTTGCTCTATGATATCTATTTGTATCGTTTCCATGAACGAAGTTACCCGTCTTCTCACCATCCTACAACTCGAGCCAGGGAATCAAGCCCCAACTGTGCTGGGTTGCGGGCAGGCAAAATAGCCCGACTGCACATGGTTTGGCCAGTCCCTGGTCGGTCATCGTTGAGTGCCACAAGTGTCGGAGAGGTTACAGTCAGTCCCTGGTCTGCCCATGTCTAGAACCATGGCCTCGATGTTACCTTCCAACTTCGGGCTTGCGTTGGGTAAACCGTTTCACGCAGGGCTTGCGCGTGGTGTCATCTTGCTTTGAATCGACGAGACAGCCAGCCTTTATAAAGTGCCATGTGAGCCCCAGGCTGGGCCTCTCTCCGCGGTATGCACACATTTCACAAAAACCTCATTCCTCCTGAACTCACTCATATCCTCAGCGAACAATGAAAGCCCACCTGCCACGATTGAATGAGCTCCGGAAACTACTGGCATCAGCAGGAAAGAAGCCGCATTCAGGTATCAGGCCCGATGTCTCACACCACGGAATCGTCTTCGCCCGACGACAGAAGACTGGACTTCCAGGCCGTCTCGGACGAGAGTACGTTAACCGGGAAAAACGAAAGTGAGAGAGCTGGGGCTTGGAAGGTCGATAGCGTGGTCACAATCGAGCTTCTTGAACAGCCCACCGACAGGACTGGTTAGAGGAATCTCATGTCGTTACTTTGCGAGTATGACCCGTCCTCTGTCCTACAATATTCCAAGCCCAGCTACTACTCCGCCAAGAAAGACGCTGATCTGTATTGTCCAGTCTTGAAACCAGAGTCCCGTAGGCTTTACTTCCATTGCGAAACCGAGTGATGTCCTACGAGTTTTTCGAGCTGACTGAGAGCTATAGAAAGCTGGAGGAAGATGTGAAGGATGAGGACAAGGGAAATCACCGCTTGCAAAGAAGAGTGAGCGGCATCTATGTGAGAGCTCCGACCCCTCAGTAAAAACCTGTCGTTCAGCTCCGTACAGGTATAACACCGTCGCGACGGTGATAACGCGGGTTATCAAAGTTCGGTGGTCGCGAACTATATTCATTATTATGGCATGTTATTATCGTGCAAGAGAAGTCACACTAATCAGATAACTTGGACATCTACTTCAACTGAACATTATCATTATAGCAACGATAACAAAGCAACCACGAGTCATGGGTCAAAAAGACCTGGAACAACAAGAAAACTTACCACTAACTACTCCGAGTTTAGAAGCTTACTAATCAGGGTTCTGGAGCAATTACTTCTTCGTTTGACAGTTGACTAGTGAATGTATATGCACGTGCAAGGCCATGCGAGGAATCAGACCCCGCTAGGTGGTTCAAAAACGGACTTAACCCAACCAGAGCGCCATGGAGATGGCCGTCAGCCTTCTGGAGGGGTGGTGCGGATCAGTGGCGCATTGCATTCGACCGTTTCTGTTTGCAATTGAGCGCTCGTTCGAGCCCATGCAGGGTCGTGGCGATATCATCTGCATAGTGGGTACATCACGCGTTGGAGACTTCGTGCGACTAACCATCAGTGTGACATAAAATAGTGGTAGCTCCGCACTGAGGTCTCGAACGGTTTGGGGACAGTACGATCCAGATGTCATGCTGTCGCACACTACACCTTGCTGACAAGGAATAAACACGCTTGCACCAAGAGCTTTTGTCAAGAGGAGTGACAGGTCGGGTGGTGTTGACATTGGCTGACAACCCTTCTGACTTATTAAACAGGCTCATAGAATATTGGCCAGTGCTTGATAGATTCTTGCCAGCGAGCAGGTTGGCCGATGCAGGAACATTATGGAGTCCTCATACCCGATCCTTGAGCTCGAGGTTCAGTACGTCATCTTCCAAACTCAGGAGTCCCATTGCCCAGCCCGCTGCTGCTGCGCATCTGGCAACGGCAACGAAACGCCTTTCGCCGGTGTCACTCAAGTAACTCTCTTTACCAGGTGGCGTCCATTTTGAGGCTTGTTCGTAATCGGTCGTGTCTTTCCGCTCGTGAGGAGGACCACGACCTTGCTTCGCAGCAACCCTCCACGCATTCTCACAACTGTTGGCTATGGAAATGGATATTAGCCAACCACTCTTGCGGAAAAGGTTGCGCAACCTTGTGACGACCCAGTCTCGTTGCGCCGGGTCTGTGCACTGAATGGCGGCACAGAAAATCGGCACAGTCATCTTGATAAGACAAGATCCTAGTGCTGGGCTCAGACCCCCAGCTTCTTGGTAAATTCTTTGTGAGTCGTAGATCCCGGCCGCAATTCTCCCGATATCTTGCGAGTATCCTGCTGTAGTCGGCGCTGCTACCTTTGCAGATACCATCATGGCAGGAGGCATCGATGGATGTAACCGATGTAAGAGAATTTGACCGGCAAAGTAATAGCTCCAGAGAACAGCTATAGTATGTGTCCGGTACTGCAGAGCAGGGCCGAACGGCGTTGGTATTGGGGATACACTATCGGCAGGCAGAGGCATGAAGTGAGGGCCGAGAGCGCTCCCGAATGCGTCGAATGCCGTTAATATACTCTCCCACTCAGCTTCAGCCTCATCGTACGATGTTTCCTCAGATCTTTCTTCATCATACTTGCTATCATCGGCAAAATCAACAAAATCAGGTGGAGGATGTCTTGGCCTGCGGGGCTGAGCCATGCCGTAGAACGGCGGAGCAGTCGACGGCGAACCGGAAGGGGGCTGTACAGCGCCACCAATTGAGGGTCTTGTCTGCTGTTCAGGGTCTCTTCTTGTAAAACGAGCCATAAAACTAGCGAATCTGAAATCGGGCCGCCATTCCGATCCCGTGCTTTGTGTTGCCGTCAGCTTCCGCTTTCTGTCGCGGACACCAAAATCCGTCAGTCGCCCCAGTAAAAGCCACAGATGATCCGCAGAGCCGTATATAGCGTCCAATCGACCCATTCCCGCACGTGGAGGACACAGTCCCCATTGAGAGTATGGCATGCTGCTCCTGTAAGCCTAAAGTTATTCGAATAAGGGAGTGGGGGGATGATACTGACAATAACGGGCCACCACCGATGATACTCTGTATGACATCCTGCTGCAGGTATTGCCAATAAAGGTCGCACTGTATTCGAAAATTTTCAATGTCTTCCCTAGTAAAATGACTCTCATGGCGAGCGCCGGCTTGATCGTCCTCGGTCTGCCCAAGCTCATCGTAATTGACAGCTCGGCCAACAAGGGCTCCTATCAGATTCTCATTGATGTTTCGTTCGCTTCTTGCAAAAGGGTCATCCTTAGAATCCGTATCGGCCAAGCATAATGATTCCGCTAGGGAGAGACTTGAGGGTTCCATTTGTTGCCTCTGAGCCCAGTCTCTGCGTCGTTGGGCACGCAGGCTACGTGTTATTCCAGCAAAGTCAATCTCGCGCACCAACTGAGCCGACCCTGCGACATGACTATTCCACTTAGGGTGATCTGCGCCCATCACTTCGTAGTATCCCAGCAGGAGTGTAGCGGCTAAAGTGCTGATATGCTTACGTCGCATGGGTAGACCAACTGCAACACTGACCCTCCTAAGCGCATAATGGTAGTGCTTCAGGGAAACTGTCGGCGGGGCTTGCTGCAGGAAAGATATGTGTAAGCTGCCCAGAGCCAGTATGGCCTGTAGCAATGCATGGTTCTCCAAGGCTTTTAGAGGGAGCGTATAGGTCCAAAGTCCTTGTCGTGCCGTTGGGACCGGAAACTCCGACATGGTTGAAGGCTCAATGGGGTGTCGCTCAAATACGGATAAAGTTGGCCCGGTAGAATTAATGAAATGCAGGAAGATGCGCGCTGCTTTTGGGTTGTTCAGCGGAGAGAAGCCATAAGTTGGGGCATAAGAGGTGAGTATGTTTGGCTCACTCAAGTAAGTGGTAAAGGTTCGAAGCTGCTGTTGGTCGCGGTTAGCGGATGCCATGATGAGACTAAGTTGATTGTAATCTAGCGCCATCTTCTGCTCGTGAAACTCCTCGTCGGTGTCAAGATCATAGTAATCATCTTCTCGTTCTTCTTCAGCATAAAGTTGTGCTTGAGATGAGGTTGAGCCTGCGAATCTTGCGCCGGGTACTACGGAAGATCCCTGCGGATATGATATGCCCGTATTAGTGGGGTACCGCACCTCTAAGCCACCCGACCGTTGTTGATCCAGGAAGGCCAAGGTATCTGCCAGTTCACGGAGCGCGGGATATCCCCGCGGCAAAACTATATTTGACTGCGGTCGGTCCGAATCTACGCTAGAGTGCTGAAACTCATGAGGCGCTGTTGCTGTGATTGACGGAGAAGTCGGTTCCGTAATTGTGGTTGCAACGGACTTTGCGGCCAGGACCGGTTGACCAGACCTGGTTCGTCTTTGTTGTGAGACTGCATTGCTAAGATCCTCGCTGGGAGGCGGCACATTGAATGTCTCTGTGCTGACAGTTACCGGTTGTGAGGTGGTGCCAGTAATGCCCAATGGATCCTTGAAAACTAGGCGTAAACCATAGCCCTTGCAGACGCGCTTTGACTTGATACAGTTATTACAGATGGGCTTCTCTTCGCCACATTTTATGCGACGTTGCCGGCAAGCTGTTAGGGCGGGTAAGCTCAAGTCGCTCAGACCCTCACTGGAAAGACTCACTTAGGCATCCAGACTTGGTCCTTTTCTTAGGCACTTTCTGACTAGATTGACTGCCCGAGAGCGCCGCCGTGGAGTCTCCCTGCGCTTCCGCCGAAGTGTCAGGACTCGGCACGATGTTTGGCCCACTGGCAAATGGGTCCTGGTGTGATTTCCGGGTGTGGTCGGCAGCTTCCATAGTGGCAAAAAATTGGCACAGAGTCGCTGTCGTATTCTCAAGACGGCAACCGAAAATCTAAAAGACATCCGGACTGTGTACCGAACGACAGCAGCTACGAGTCAAGATCCTGATGTGGAGTAGCATAGCTAGTGGGTGCGAAGAACACGGGACATATAACTTCTTATGGGGTTCCGATGAGGAAGTTCTACCGCAGGCCTGTTCCATCCTGTGATTGGCTGGTATCCATAGCAGAAGCGCCTTAGGCACTAAGGCTGCCCCTCAAGGTGGAGGCAAAATGGAAGCCATCACATTCAGAGAGCTGGTCCCTTCGATCTGGGACCATGGTAGTTGAAGACGACACTAACGATCGTTGAATGGTCACGACAGTACAACAATGTCATAATGATCAAAGTCCTACTGTCATAGGATGTAGGATTCGACTCACCGTCGTCCCTCAGTCAACGGAACCGGTAGACTTGATGACTTTCACCTGGACATTGTGACTTCCATAAACGGCCCGTCCCGACATTTCTCCTCCAAATTCAAGAGACAGCCACAACAATTCGTTCAAGCGGTTGTCACCTAGGGTATCCGGATACCGGTCTTCCTGGCGATGTCTCTCGACGCGGGGTACACACACACACACACACACACACAATTCATTAGCGCCCGGCGGCTCAGCCGAAAGGGCAACTATCACTAAACTATCAACACGAATTCTAATGTACATCTGCTGTATCTCCTTCGAGCCCATACATAGATGCTTTCAGTATATGTCCTCTCAGCTGCCACTATTGTAGGAATCCCTGTGGATTAGCAAATTTGTTAATAGACTGGCTTGAAGGTGCTTCTTCAAGTATTTAATATCCTATCCTCGGCAGTTAAAGCGCGTCTACCATCTGTGGCACAAGGTGGTTGGTGTAGGTTAGTTACGAGAAGGATGTCAATGTCTTGGTTAATATAGTTAGGTGGCGTCGAGTCGGCCCGTGGCGATAGCAAATTATATTAAGGCTCGTACTGCCTCCAATTTCGGCGTCCAATGCTGATCATTAGAAGGCGATTTCCTGCCCAGGCAGAGGGAGAGATTGCCCCGGTGAGTACAAGTACATTATAGCAGTGTAATCTGTTACGCAGTCCACTTCTGACACCGGAAGAGAAAATGCTCCACGGTTTCTCTTACTTGTCTGCATGCACACTGGTCTGTCTGCGCGACATTGATCCGGTAGAGATACCCATTTAATCTTGCCATGCCGGTCTAGAGTTGAGCCAGCACAGTCACTTCTTTCCACAATAATCCATCATACAGCTGCCAGGTGTGCTTTCCTGGGAGTACTGCATCCACTCATTTGACGTGTCTCCCTACGTCCTCTGGCAAGGCTTTCGTGGTGACTGCTTGGGATCGCGGATTCAACGTTGTTGACTTCATTCTGGAGATCTGTGCTTGTGGAATAGCGTCCTTGTGGATCGCAGCCCTGGCCTGCTCTTTAGCTAGGCCCAGTAGTTTGTTATCTTCGCTGGCAGGGACCCAACGAATCTTGACATGGTTTCCTTTTCTCCGCAGTCTGCTCATCAGCTTGTACGTCTGGCAGACGAACTCCTGGCCTGACTGTTGTTGAGGGTTCTGTATCGTGAGGGCCGCCGCTTTGTTGCTGGTGAGCAACCTGAGCCTGAAACCTTTCAGTCCCACCAGCCCGTTTAATGTATGAGCTATAGCCGCTAGCTCTGCGGAGAATGGACTTTGCTCTGATCTTGCGCCCAGTGTCATGGAAAAGGTCTTCAATTTCAGTTTTCGATATCGAGGTGGCTGCTTTTCGGTTGCTACCCCAAATCCTACAAACCCGTTCCGTGCCGAGCTGCTGATCGCGATCTATATTGATCCACCCGGTGCAGGCTGCGGGTCCGGCATGGCTTCGCCATCAGTCTGCATACGTGTCTCCCATGGTGCTAATGTAAACGGGTTAATAGTCTCCCGTGTTTCCATATCAATGTTTTTCAGCGCGTCTGCCACCTGGTACAGCCGCGAACGGTGAAACCGTCTGAATTTCCTGATCCGAGCTGTGTTTTGGCGGAGAGGATTGGTATCAGGGAGCGTGTGGAGATCCATCCACATTTTCACGGCCCGCCTCCAAAAACGGTGTTGCGCCGTGGCAATGTGAGCCTCTGCCTCCGCGACGCTGGTTGCAACGGTAAGAAAGTCCCGACAATTGCCTGCGCGCCCACCCTTTGGACTCGGTTAATCGGCCCCGTGGCCTTATCTTTGAATGCATGCATCCAGACATTAGAGGCGTAGTCCACTACAGGGCCAGTGTCGATGTGAATAGCTGCCGCGCTGTTGATGGGGAGAGACCTCGAAGTCGTCGAAGCTCCATCACTGCCTCAAGGCCTTGGACGCTGCCCTTGCGATGTGTTCCTTATATTTGAGACTGGTGTCCATGAGAACGCCCAGAATCTTGACATGGTCTTTGGGTTCTACCGTTTGTCCCTTGAAGGTGAAGGGCCCCCGGTCTTATTTGTAAGCCTTGGGAGTGAAGTGTATAATGTTTTGTCTGCTTCGAAAGTCGCGCCGCTCCTTTTCTCCCAGTCGAGTGCTTCATTGATAATAGCTTCAATACCTTCCCGTTACTCTGCGCACTTGGTCCGGTCACCAACGCGGTAACATCATCTACGAACGCGATTGCACCTCCCTGGCTGTCGAGTTGTCGTTATACGAGGTCTGCGTTGAAAAAGAGGAATAGAATTGGGGGTAGCGGCGAGCCTTGCGGCAGTCCAGCCTGTGGCAGGCTGTGGGTCTCAGACAGTTGCCCATAGATTTGGATGGTCGCCGTTCGTTCCGAGCAGAACGCCTCAACCCACCGGAGTAGATCCTCCGGTAGGCCTCGCACTTTCATTCTCTGAAGCAACCGTTCTGTGCACACTCCATTGTAGGCTCCCTTGACATCGAAGCTAATCAAGCTCACGACCCGTCGGCCGCGCCAGCCGCGTAGATTTGCTCTTGCAGGAGTACGAGTGCTTGTTCTGCGGACCGCTGCTTTCGGGCGCCGAAGTGGCTGGTCGGGAGCAAATCATAAGTCTCCACCGCGTGTGAGATCCTTTGTGCTACCACCGATTCCAGTATCTTGCTCAGCGTCGCGAGGAGCGAAATGGGTCTCCATGCTTTGGCAATAGCGTAGTTCTCTTTGTTCGGCTTCTTGAGCGGTATGATCTTCGCATGTCTCCACTGTCTTGGCAACGTGTCTTCTTCCAGCGACGCCTGGAAGAGATCCAAGACTCTGTACTTGACCGTAGGCCAAATCATCTTCCAGACTATCGTCGGCAGACCGTCTTCGCCAGGTGCCTTCCAAGACTTTGCCGCCATCAGCTGTCGTTCGATCTCCTCCATCGTGATGGCAGGCATCTCACCTGGCGCTCTTTGTGGTTGAGTTCCTTCATCGTCAACATTGTCCGGCAGGGGCGGGAAGAATTTGGTCAGTAATTCTTCTGCCTGCTCCGTGTGATCGGTGGTCGTGGTCCCATCCGCTCTGAGGAGCTGCGGGATCTTCCCGGATGCTGCGTCTTCTCCCGACTTCAGGTATCTAGCGGCTTTCCATATGTTATCATTGTCGTCAAGAAATTGATTCCAGTGCTTTTTCTTTTGTTGCCGGATGGCATCATGGTATTGTTTTGCCGCGCATCGGGCCATCGTCTCCAGGTAGGGTGCTTTTCGTCCCGCCCGTCGCTCGGACCGGGCGTGATTTCTCCAGTATGTGTGTATGTGACGGAGCTGTGTCAAATCAGCGGTCCACCACCGCTTCGCGTGTGGTGATGGTTTCGGCCTTGGTGTTAATGCATGCACCGCATCCGAGACCGCCGACATGAGCCGGTCGGTTTTCTGCTGCACTGTGCCCTCTGCAGGAGTGGCGGCAAGAGTGTTCGCTATCCTGGCGTTAATCTCTTTCCATGGAGCGTTTTTCAGCAGGAGTCGTCCCTGATGCTTTGGGAGCGACCAGGGCGCATCAAACACGGTCTCAATAGCGCAGTGGTCCGAGCCGTGCTCCGTCCCGAGTATAGCACACTTAATCACGGAGTCTGTTAGGTTGTCCGAGGCCAGGACCAGGTCGATCGTCGACTCGCAGTCCCCGCTGTATCCTCCGCCATGCCATGTCTTTGTGCCTCGTTTGAGAAGACTGCTGAGAATGAGGTCGATGATTGGATCCGCTTCACCTTGTCTTTTCAAAGACACGTCGTCTCCTCCCCAGAGTTGGTCCTGCCGGTTGAAGTCTCCCATAATCAAAATCTCCACCACCGCACCCGTATCTCGCCGTACTTTCGTGATTGCGTTGATTAAGTGTTTGCATGCGTCGTCCAAAGCTAAGACATTGCCCCCTTCCACGTAAACAGATGCCGTGGAAATCAGTCGCTCGGGGAGCCTGATAACCGCTGCCGTTAGGTCCGGAGACTCTATTGGCACTTGTTCCGCCTCGACATCTTTGTTAATCCAGAGCATACTTCGAATTGCCCACCTGCCTTCCCTCCAGGTAGAGGGAACCATCTTCGTCCATTTGTGGTGTCCCATCGGGGTGGTCAAGAGCCGGCCTTGAATCCTCCTCGCTTGGGGTTCCTGGATCGCTAACGCCACCGCGTTCTGAGTCTCTTCGTCATTCATTAAGCTCTCGTGCACTGCCCCCTGTTTTCTCACATTCAGTTGAATAACTCGAAGAGTCTTATTCATGATGCGATGGGTAGAGCTTCCGACAGTCTCTGCTGTACGATTCGTGAGGGCCTCCGCATGGAATGCACTTTGGGATCGTTTGATCGCAGCTACTGTGGTGATGGCCCTCCGCGGCACATTTTGCACATTTCTGCGCGTTCTTACACTGGAAGGCCTTATGTCCGATCTCTTGGCTATTATAGCATTGCATCGGTCGGGGTCGGTATTCAAAGGTGCTGGTCACGCCGGATTCTCCCCCAGCGTGAAAGAACCCGTCGGCCAGGAGCCTCCGTGCATCACTGCCTTTGGTCAGATAAACGACCATTGACCCGTAGGCCTTCGCATTCTCCTTGCTGCTGAGCCATGCAATCTTAGCGATGGAAGCTTCGTTCTCTTCGCCAAAGGCTGCCGCAGCTCCTGCTCGGATATCAACGTTTTCATCAAGCACTGCAGTTCTGTTGACGCTGTCAACTTTGATCGGGTACAGTTCGTCACGAAGCACTCGGGCTCCTGCGCCAACCT